CCTGCGTTTTCCTGCTGTCAATTTCCACCGTTCAGAAGAGTTCTCCAAATGCACCGTGTACATGGAGCCTTAAACGTATTTCCAAGCCTCCTGGCCAATGGTTTTATTATTATTATTATATGGGATTTATATAGCGCCAACAGTTTGCTCAGCGCTTTACAATATAACGGGAGACAATACAGCAACAATACAGTTCAATACAAATATTGGTGATTGATTCTAAAATAGAGCAAAGGCTCTTCAGCTCTTCCATTAAATTCCCATTTTATACAGTAGGTTTCCTATAAAAATTGTAACCCTATTAAGGGTCATTAGGAAGTCACAATTATATTTTCACATTAACCACTTGCCCTCCAGAGGATTTTCCCTCCTGTCCTGACCAGGCCATTTTTTGCGTTGCGGAGCTGCGTTACTTTAACTGACAATTGCGCGAACATGCAATGCTGCACCCAAATTACATTTACGTCCTTTTTTCCCCCCATGATTAGAACTTTCTTTCATTATTTGATTGCCTATGCAGTTTTTATTTTTTGCTCAATAAAATAAAAAAAAAAAAAAAGATGTAGTAGATTCTACTACATGTCTTTGCTAAAAAAAAATCCCAATACATGTAAATTAATTAGTTTACATGAAAGTTATAGCGTTTACAAATAGAATTATATATACACTGGAATTAGTTTTTTTGTTTTTTTTTTTAGTAGAAATGGTGGTGATCAGTGACTTATGGCGGGACTGTGGTGTGCATTCTGACACTGGGGAGAACTGGCATCTCCAGTGACACCAATACAGTGATCAATGCTACAAAAAAAAAAAAAAAAAAAAAAAAAAAAAAGCACTGACACTATACTAATGGCACTGGGCAGGAAGGAGGTAACATCTGGGGTGATCAAAGGGTTAACTGTGTGCTGTTTTACTATGTGTGCTGTGTGTGTGTTTCACTGTAAGCACACTGCATAGCCATCTCTGCTATGCAGAGCCATACTAAGCAGTGTGCAGGAGCTGACAGGGGAGAGATCTGTATTGTTTACATACAGGTCTCCCCCCCCCCCATCAGAAATCCTCTGAGATCGCCAGGTGCCGGCGCGGGAATCACCGGCCGAGACACGGTGATTGACAGCTGAGGCCACGAATGGCGGTGCATGCCTCCTACCCAGAACTGCAAAATCACATATATACACACACACACACACACACATACATGATTTTGCACACCCGTGCCACCCTGTAGCAGTATTTCTGCTACAGGGCAGTGCGGAAGCGGTTAAAGAGGAACGTCACCTTAAAAAGGGAAGTTCTGTTGATCCTCCCCCCCCCCCCCCCTCTACTTTTACCACTTTTTTTTTTTTTGGCAGAGTGGGAACCCAGCGGAAGTCCCCTTCACCAAAAACCTCCTGGGACATGTCACAGGTCCTAGGAGATGGGGGGAACAGTCACAGAGTGCAGTGTGGCTGGTGCATGCGTAGTGGGGAGCCCGCTGTGATAGCTGGCTACCCCCAATGAACATGGTGCGGGGGACCCAAAGACCAGTGAAGAACCCAAAAGGAAGACGTGAGAACAGCACTGGCCAGATAGGTTTAGGTTTTGTTTTTTTAAGTATTTGTAGCTGCTAATTTTTAATTAAATTTAATTAAAAAAAAAAAAAAAAAAGAAGAAGAAAGAAATAACGGAAGAACCTCTTTAACCCCTTTACGCCGGCCGCACACAAATGTGCCGCCTCCCCGGGGTCTGGGCCTAGACACTGAGTGGCCGCACATTTGCGTTCATGTAACAAAAAACGTATGTGCTGAGAGCGCGAGCGCCCTGCGCGCTGCCAGCACACATGTGCGGTACTCATGGAAAGGTCCTGGTCCGCTCTATCGGGATCTTTCCGGATCATGTGACCGCCGGTGACGACAGGTCGTCACCGCGGTCACATGATCCCTAAACCACGCCCGCCCCGCCTCCCGGTGCCTGAAACTCTTAAAGGGCCGGGAGGCGCCTGGCGGGAAGGGGTTAATACTGCTTTACACATACATAGGGAAAATATATCTCTCCAATCACAATTGTAAGAAGCGTTAGAGGATAAGTTCACCTTTCTGAACAAGTTACACCCATCTTTAGGGTGTAACATGTTCAGCATCAGACCCCCTCTCTCTCTTCTGATCCCCCCACTCCTTGTGGCAGCGAGACAGGAATCTTCTCCCCGTACTCGCTGCCACAATTTAAGGAGAGTGTGGCTGTGCGGTGCTCCGCCCACGTGGTCACGTCATTGAGTCATAGATCCCTGTGAATCAATGAACTACAAGTACCAGTATCCTTTGCAGCTGTCGGCTTGTAGTTGTCAATGAACTACCACGGCGCTGTTGAGCACTGTGGTAGTTCATTGTTTCTTCCTGTCGGTGTACAACTGCCTACCCGTACGATGTACAGGCAGACAGCTCACACTGACAGTCTGCAGGAGACCAGTATGGCACCAGCGATCAGCTTTCCAGGCAAAAAAAAAAAAGAAGTGCATTCATTATTTTTCATTAAATGGCGAACTTATCCTTTCGATTTATTTTTACATACAGCTAAGACTACATACCCCTGGCCCCTAACCATCCCAAATGCTGTGGGACTGTCCTGGAATTTAAAATGAACCTGTGCCCAGCTAATGCACTCTAAAGTGCTTACGGGTTCTCCAAATGCCTCATTCACACTGAACGGGTCTTGGTGCTCAAGTGAATGAGGATTAAATCGCCATCAGATGTTTCTAAGCCAACTAAAACCCAAATCTAGAATTTTTGATGTGATCCTTAGGAATAAATAATTTTCCAATAAAAGCAGCTAGTGAGGTTAATTCAGGTCATACATGCATACGTGGGTAAATGTGGATGCACACACACCATCATTGTTTACATGAGTATGGATGCAAAAAGCTAGTCACTTGTATGCAAAAATACAAAGAGAAAATTCGCCACTCATACCTTGACTGTATGTGGCACCTGTGGCTCCCTGGGATTGGGAAAGAGTCAGGAGTTTTACACTAGAGGACTTTAGGCTTCATGCACATGACCATCTAGAAGCTGTAAAGTTCTTTTACTGCTTGTTAACCTCCCTGGCGGTATTCCCGAGTGCAGCTCGGGGTAAAGTTTCAGTACCACAAGGTAACCCCCGAGCTACACTCGGGAATACCATGCGGCGCTGCTCAGCGATCCCTCGATCACTTACCTTGTCCTGCGCTCCCGCGATGTCCCTCCCGCAGCGTCCCCGGCAATGTAATCCGGCAGGTGCCGGGATCTGTCATCTGGGTTCCATCCCCTGCGAGCGTCGGGACGTACGGGGGACGGAACGGCGGGAAATTTGAAAATGACAAAAAGTGACATTCACTAAAATCACATAGTAAAACATTACTGTATCAAACCATTTCACATACATTTTGTCCCTAATGCTTTGTCCTGTGCCCTGCCTGCATTTTTACTGTTCTTTCTGCCTGGAAACTGAGAAACGTCCATGGTGTCCAAAAAGCATCCCTTTAGGTAAAAAGTGGTTTTAGACCAGTTAGAAAACAGCGATAGTAAATTAGAACCACTTGCAGAATTGAGTGATAATGATTTGTGGGGAAATTTGTCATCAGACACTGAAAACGATTTTGCGACTTGCTCAGTGATGTGCGAACTTGGTGCTGTATTTCAAATTTCAGTGTTTTTGGTTTGATTATATTATTGAATTAAATTTATTATTATATTATTTTTTATGATTATTTATTAAATTATAATTTATAATTTCGCGTTTCAAGTTTTATCATACCCGGGATGTTTACTAGATTCTTGTTCGGACAGATTTTAGTGAGTTATTCCTAAAAATTATAGGCCTACAATAAAAAAAATACATATTTCCATGCAAAAAAATGTACCACTTTGAGCACAGAAATATGGACATAATCAGACCGCTAGGGAGGTTAAAGTGGAACTTCACTCTGTCAATCAACATGGACTATTTTGAATCCTTATGCTGCTAGTATTAGTAAATAGATCGGAAAGTATATCATTTATACTTGGTTATAATTGTTGTTTTATATTTCTTTAGCTAGTTTCCATGCCTAGGCAAATGATGTCATACATCCCAGGAGTCTTCTGGATGGGAGGGGTGGAGTTCTCAGCTAAGAACACCCTCCTGCCTGCATGTCTGAGCCAAGCACAGATAGATTCCAGGAAGTAAATGCTGCATGAATCATCTGCCCTTACTCATGATGCTAAGGTGTGCTTTTCTAATTGTTTTTCTCAGCAAAATAAAGCATGGAGACATGAATGGCTGGGCGAGTTTGCTTTTAATATTAAAAATAAATAAATAGCGCTTTTGGTTTGTTGTGCTGAGATACAGTATAGTTTTCCTTTAAGCATATGTAAATTCTTTAACCACTTGCCTACCGGGCACTTATACCCCCTTATTTACCACGCCAATTTCAGCTTTCAGCGCTGCCGCACTTTGATTGACAATTGCGCGGTCATGCAACATTGTACCCATATGAAATTTTGATCATTTTTTTCTCACAAATAGAGCTTTCTTTTGGTGGTATTTAATCACCCACTGGGCGCTTTACTTTTTGCGCTATAAATAAAAAATTGCCAAAAATTTGTAAAAAAAAAAAAAAAGTTTCTTTGTTTCTATTATAAAATTTTTCAAACAGGTAATTTTTCTCCTTCACTGATGTGCGTTGATGAGGCGGCACTGATGGGCACTGATAGGCAGCACTAAAGGGCACTGATAGGCAGCACTAATGAGGTGGCACGGATAGCCGGCACTGATAGACAGCACTAATGAGGTGTCACGGATAGGCGGCACTAATATGCAGCACTGATAGGCGGCACTGATAGGTGACACTAATGATGGGTACTGATAGACGGCACTGACTGGCATCACTGCTGGGCACTGACTGGCGGCACTGACTGGCACAACCGCTGGGCACTGACTGGTGGCACTGACTAGCAGCACTGCTGGGCTGCACTGGTGGGTGGCACTGGTGGGCAGCACTGGTGGGTGGGCACAGGTGGGTGGCACTGGTGGGCACAGGTGGGTGGCACAGGGGGGCACAGGTGGGTGGGCACAGGGGGGCACAGGTGTGTGAAATTGCAGAGTGGCACAGGTGGGTGCACTGCTGGGCACAGGTGGGTGCACTGCTGGGCACAGGTGGGCGGAGCTAGTGGGCGCACTGCAGGGCACAGGTGGGCGGAACTTGCGGGTGGCACTGCTGGGCACCGATCATCAGGGCACTGATCATCAGTGCCCTGATGATCGGTGCCGATCCCCGCTCTGACAACTGCCGGTTCTCGGCAGTACTTTCCTCACGATCTGACAGCGTGAGGAAAGTGCAGCCGAGAACCGGCACTTGCATTTCCCTGTGATCAGCGTGTCATTGGACACCGCTGATCAGGTGGTAAAAGGCCGCTGTGATTGGCCTTTTACCACATCACGTGATCAGCTGTGTCCGTAGGACACAGCGATCACGGAGATCGCCGGGGTGCGCGCGTTCTGGGGGGACGTCATATGACGTCCACTCAGAACTGGCCGGCCGCAGTGCAGCCGTCATTCGGCTATCTGCGGTCGGCAACAAGTTAAAGTGGAACTTCACTCTTTCAATCCACATTGACTATTTTGAATCCTTATGCTGCTAGCATTAGTAAATAGATAGGAAGGTATCATATCTACTTGCTTTAAAGTTGTTTTTTTTTTACCATTCTTTAGTTACTTCCTAGTTTCTATGCCTAGGCAAATTATGTCATACGTCCCAGGAGCCTTCAGGAGGGGAGGAGGGGTTTTCTCAGCTAAGCACACCCTCCTGCCTGCATCCATGAGCTAAGGGCAGATGGATTCCAGAAAGAAAATGCTACATGAATCATCTGCCCTATAATTGAGTATTTTGTGGGTACAAAATGATGGCATTTAAGCCAAGTCTAATAATGAGCACAATGTGGCTCTCCCCACTTTGTTGCTGTGGCAGCTGTCATCTTCAGGATTGTACATTTTCCCTTTCTCCTCTTTCACCTGTTCTGAATGTTGGAGGTATGCATACCTGAATCTGTGCTGATATAGCCTGTTATTCTCTGGCCCATTCCACTTACACTGGAAAATGGAGACCCAGCTCCAAGTGCTCTATTGATTTGCACACTGCAGTCTAAAGCACCTTTCAGACGGGGCAAACTCTGTCTCAGTCAGCAGGGATCCACTCACAGATCGGAGCATAGCAGGCGGATCGCACATCTGTGTCTGCTCAGTTTATGCAGAACAGGCATAGACAGATCCCACTCTGCTCTATGAGTGCTTGGGAGTAAATGGACTCCCCATTTATATCTGACTACACTATGATTGATCCGCCCAAATGGAAGAAGACAGATCCCTTCCGTTTGTTTTTAGAGGACCATATCGGACCCCGAGTTAGGTGGGTGTAAACAGACACAAGTCCATTTATACTTGCCTGTTCATAGGGGTGAATGGACCATCTAATCAGGTCTGCCTGAAAAACTGACAGATGGACCTGATCGGACCCACTGTTTGCAAGGGGCCAACATGTGAACATGCTTACAATAGAGAAGAGCACAATGGGTGGTCTAATCAATACTCTGCTGCTCCTTCCTTGTCATGGCATAGAAAGGGGTTAGTTAGTTCTGCACTAGACTGTATTACTTAGCTGCAATCTGATTCACAAGGACATCCAGGAACCAACTATGCTATCTGCAGTAGTTCCTTGATCACAAGCCTGACTTTTACAGAATTACAAATCCTTTGAAAAAAGAAAAAAAGAAAAAAAGAAAAAGAAAGAAGAAAAAAAAAAAAAGAAATGGAAAAAAAAAGAAAAAAGAAAAAAAAGGAAAAGATAAAAGAAGAAAAAAAAGAAAAAAAAAAAGAAAAAAAAGGAAAAGATAAAAGAAAAAGAAAAGAAAAAGAAGAAAAAGAAAAATGGAAAAAAAAAGAAAAAAAAAAAAAAAGAAAAAAGAAAAAAAAGGAAAAGAAAAAAAAAAAAAAAAGTAAAAAAAAAGAAAAAAAAAGGAAAAGATAAAAAAGAAAAAAAAAGAAAAAAAAAAGAAAAAGAAAAAGAAGAAAAAAAAAAAAGAAGAAAAAAAAGCTTCTCTATTTGAGAAAATACAATTCCCTTAACAAATAACTATATCCAGCTGAGTAAATGGCCATATATCATATAGCCCTATTATTATTTTATTTTTTTTAAATTAAAACCCTTTCTATGAAAGAAACATTTTATAAGGACTGTGCCTCTAACTGCCAAAGGCAATGTTGAGACACTGAATTGTTTCCTGTCTGTGGCAACTCTCATGTCGCAGCTTAATTAACTGGATTTAGGCACACGAATATATGCTTATGGAATGGGAGCTTGCACAGTGTCTTGCTCAATGTAACTTTATATTGTGAATCAACATGATGTAGTACCGAAGATGGATACTGACACAAAGTATAAAAAGGACTGAATGCTTAACAGGAAATGAGTCGTTCACCCATTGCAAGGACAGCAGGTAAAAGGTATTAACTGGCTGGGGGATTCCAAAGACCCTCATTTTTAAATAACATTCTGCTTTTTAACTGAGAAATGGAATTGTGAATTATTATTTGGCCTATTATTTTTCACATCTTTCCATTTTTCTTAAAGAAGTATTAACCACTTCCAGAACACTTTTATGACCAGGCAATTTTCAGCTTTCTAACGCAAAATCAACACTTTGAAGACTGAATTGTTTCATGCAATACTGTACCCAAATGAATTTTTTACCATTTTTTGAGACAGATAAAGCTTATTTAACTGGTATTTATTCACCGCACACTGGGATACGTATTTATTTTTTTTTTGAATGGTAAATGAAGCTTGTCCAGTGTTTGAAAATGTTTTATTTTGAATCAAATGATTTGCAAGATGGATATGACACAAATCATAAAAATCTTGAATGCCAGGAAATGATTCCGTTATCCATTGCAAAAAAAAAAAAATCCCAAATTAGTTTATAACCAAAAAGTATAATTTTTAAATATTTTTTTTTCATTTTTATTTTATTTTTTTATATTATTTTTTATTTTAATATTTTTTTTTACATACTGTCACCCTAGCAGTACAGTGTCTACATGGTGACACTTTACTACTTGTGGGGAGTGATGAAGATTTTTTTTTTTTTTTTTTACACTGATTGCTTTTATACCCATATAGGATATAAAAGCAATCATTTCTCTTTCTCGCTGTGTGCATTCTTGCACTCATTGGGAAGTACTGAGTGAGCTGTGATTGGTCACAGCTTGTCACATGGTACAAGGCTGTTGTGAATAGCCTTGTACCATGTGACCTCTGTGATCATTCACAGATTTCACACGTAGTAAGCAATGATGTCACAAGTGACATCTTGCTTACTACTTTGCATGTGATCACTGATTGGCCAATCAGTGATCACATGATTGGGACCTTGTACAGAGGTCCCGTCCAACGATCGGTGTTTCACTGTGTCCGGAGGACACAGCGGGCACCAGATCGCGGTGCTGCGCGCTCCCAAGGAGCGCGCACAAGCAGGGTGCGGGGAGGCCGTTTATAAACGGCCACCCGACCCTGCAGTGCCATCGTCCGGCCGTTTCTATGCAACGGCCGGTCGGGAAGTGGTTAAACCCAACAGCAAACATTTATTATATTGCAGCTGACCAATTCTTAGATGTGATGACTGCATTAGTGTTCTTTAAGGCTTTATTTTATTTTCATCTGGTGATCCTGCCAGGATATCTGTTGTTTTTCAAAAGAACAAGCTCTTTTCCAGTAGTATCAGTTTTCAGGGATGAGCTAACCATTTACTATCAAACAGGGGTGCTTACAATGATCAGCTTTTATGTATAACCTTTATCCAATGGAAAAAACTGTTTGTGGTAACTGCTTATAAAAGTATTAGCTGGCGTTCGGCTATAGTTTGTTAGTGTATTTATATCTGCTCATACTTTTCACACTCCCCCTCCCCACACCAGACTGACAATGTTGCTGTCCAAAGGTGCCCCCTGTGTTCCTTCATCCAGAGTGGAGGCACTCTAATACGGGAGATGTGTTACTGGCCAGATTACCAGAGGAAAACAGAGGGGAAAAAAAGACTGAAAAAAGAAAATAAATGCAGCCACCACATCTAATGATTGGTAAGCTGAAGTATTACATTTTGGTTTTAATACCACTTTAAGTCACATATTTGAAAAAAAAAAAAAATCTTGTGCAGTAAACTATAGCAATGTAAGGAATTAGAGAAGAAAATCAAGTCTGAGTGCTTTTTGGAATCTGGGCTTGAAATGTTGAGATAATTACAGTAATGTATATGTCAAAGGAAAATGGATGGTATGTTCAGTTCCCGCAAGAAAAAAAGAAAAAAAAATCTAATTTTGATTATGTTTTCTTAGTCCCCACTCTATTTAAAGCTAAGAAAAATGTTTTTTTTACAGTCCTATGGGTGAACAGGTGTAGGTATACCTGGGTCCACCTATATCCATCCACCCCCAGATCATTTTAGGGCCAACAACCGAAGGCAAAAAGTTTGCATCTGGGTCAGCATTTAGGCTTCGTTCACACCAATGCATTTTTTTTTTTTTTTTGTGCTTTTTGCAGAAATGCACTACAGTCCATTTAATATGGGTTCCTATAGAACATGTTCTCATCTATGCTTTTTTTGAGCTGCTGTTTTTTTTTTTTAAAGGGTCAGGGCTTTTTTAAAAGCAAAAATCAGTATTTTTGCTACAATAGAGTTCAATGGAGAAGCTGCTGAAATGCATGGTAGTGCATTTTTGCCACGTTTTGAATTTTTATTCTGGCCAGCAACCAAAAAAATTCCAGTTTTAAAAAAAAAAAAACCCGAATAAACGCCAAAATACATGTAAAAAAAACAAACAAAAAAAAAAAAACACGCAAAACAAACTGTGAAAAGCACAGCAGACAAAAATCAAACTGCATAGGTGTGAAAGGAGCCTTACTGGCCAGATCAGAGGTGGGTGGATATAAATAGGCGCAGGTCCACTTACATCCGCCCACCCATAGGAAACACATGGGCAGAGTTTTTCCATAGAGAAACACAAATGTGACATCCAAACTGTTCTAATCCAACTCAGCAAGTGACCAGTCTAAATTCCCTGTTGAGACTGAACACACACCACTGGTGTGAAAGGATCTAAGGATTTCATTCAGCAGACTTGAATGGCACAACACAGGTTCATTCACCCAAAATGCAGCATACAGTTGCAAGAAAAAGTATGTGAACCCAATGGGATTACGTGAAGTTTTGCATGAATTGGGCATAAAATGTGCTCTGAACGTCATATAAGTCACAACAATAGAAGAAGAACACAGTCTGCTGAACATAATACTACACAAACATTAGATGT